AGCCGCTGAGATCGCAACAATATTTCAGTAACTCATGTGCACGTGTAAGGGGCCATTCAGAATGAGAAGATCCAAGTACCAACTGGTCCACGGCTTAAATATGGACGACCTACATGAAAGGAAGACCACTTGATCCTGTGATGGTCTCTCCGCCTCTCACACGCCTGCCCATGCGTCGTCCCTGCAGAGGCACAATAATTAATCTCGGCTCAATTGTAAAAAAAATAATATTTCGATGTAGAATATGTAAAATAATGTATAATAAATAAAAATTTGGTACAAGAATTGTTAATCATATGTATTGCACATCATTTCCTAATTTTTATACCTTAAAATATAAAAGATCTATCAACTATTGACCTATATTAATCACCAGAAGTTGTACTTCTTTTGAGAAAACAAAGTGGCGAATGCTTGTCGAAACACTTGAAGGTTTGCAAGTTTGCAAATCAATATATGTCAGCATTCTTTCATTTTCTTGAATTACAATGGGGGTATAGTGATTATAAACAGATTGGAAGTTAAATCAGAAGATTACTGGTGGGTTTTGTGATTTGTCTGTCAGCAGACATTCCCCTTTTTGTCAATCCCCAGTTCCCACTGTTCTGAAAGGACACAAAAAGGAAAAGTGCCCAAGGTTGTCATATATTATGGGAAAGTTCCATTAAGTCTATTAGATTTCCATTTACTTCTGGTGATCCGAAGAAAACTTTGTTTTGAAGTCGAAGCGAATGCAGAATCCAAGTATACAGAGCCATTAAGATATTTTCAACAGTGTGCTATGAAAAATTACCGCATCAAAATAAATAACCACACACCAAACCGATTATCGGTAACAATAAATCAAAATATCCAATTCAAAATATCGCATCAGAACTTCAATAAACCTGACCTTGTCTTGTGCCACACGGCATGCTCTAAATTTTCATTAACTACCTTTATGGTGTTTTATTATTTTAGAGACTTACTTTAACTACAATTTTTGGCTGATGTAAATAAAAACGAGTCACATGGAATCACTAGCACTCTTCGTTGGTTTCCGTGGTCGGTGAAGTCGTATCTCCGTTTGCGCGGGAAACAAACACACCTGAAGACGACACTTACACAACGCATGTCGGGATAAGTAACAAAGATAACATTCTCTGGCAAACGTGAAAGGACGCTCTTGTTGAAAAATGATACTGTGTAGAAACACTGAGGGTTTATCTTTCAAGCAAACATCATTTTGACATCGATATATAATTTATTATTTACTTAACACAAGTAAGGCTTATTAGTTCGTCAATCTTTCCACCCGAAATGCCTCCGGGAGACCGAAAGCTGCCGCAAGGGATCAGTGGGAAGACTAGATGTTGAAAAACCATAAGACTTATCTCAAATTTAGGGTCAACACGGAGCATAGGTACTTCAACGGTCTAGAAGCCTTTATAAGTTAGATCCTTTTCTCGGAAAATGGTGTTTTGAAAGTAGAAGGGGGATTATTTTACCTCACCAATGGCATGTGACAACTCAATGATTCGCAAAGCACATTCAATTCGCGGACATGCAGGATGTGATCACGTACTCGCAACAGTCTCCGCAACAAGTACTGGATCATCAAAGTCAATGACGCAGAGCGGTCAGTGCTGTCAACGTGTGTTACCTGTGAGCTCACTAGAGGCGTAACGCAAGAGCAGAAAATGCCAGGGCCCGTATCTCAAAAGCTTCTCTATATTGCGAGCGGGTGCAAGCATGGCGATTCCTCGCTATCCCATATATCGAAAGCCTCGCAAATAGCGACCGTGCGCTAATAGCGAAATCACCATTAGTTTCGAGGCTATTATTCGCGGTGATACAAACTACAGACTTGACATTTAATATGGAATATTTTTTTCCAAGAAATTTTTTATCGGTTTTTTCCTATTTTGCTGACTGATAAATGAAAATAAGGATTAAAATCGTGTTTTAATAACTTTAAATTATCGCTTTGATGTCATTGGGACATCAATTCATTAATGGAATTCGCCAGAGAAGCAAACAAAAACACATTGCCTATTCTATGCCATACGACTTCCATTAAAAAAGATATTTTGGATCTCCATATTTTCCAAATTATCTTCTGTAAAAGAGTTATACGCTCCATAAAAGACCCTCANTTTGGGCCATTCATAATCAAAGAGGTCCGGAAAGACGTTTCGTGCTACGGTGTTCTTTTCACGTCTTTAGCAAGCCGAGCTGGGCTCCATAACTCGAAAGTATCGCAAATCGCGACCGAGCGCTAACAGCGATATCACCTTTAGTTTCAAGGCTATTGTTTGCGACCAGTAAATACCGTCGCAGTGGCCTTTGCGCATGCATGATTCTTCCTTTCAGTGTCTTTCATTTAATAAAACATGCCGGCAAGTTTGGGTTGCTAATCACAATAGCGTACAACAAAGCAAGAAAGCTTATAAAATATTGAGCCACTCTGTACCTCTGATAGAACATCTTGCGGTAATTTTTCGCGTGAAGAATGCTAAAGTCATGTCTATTATGCATAAAAAGTTCAAAATTAAACATTTGATACATCATTTTATATAAGTTTATCCTTGCAGTCTTTTGATAATAATCATAAGTTTAAAAGTTTCATTATCTACACAAAACGAGAGAGCAGAAACAAAGCATTCGGTCACACCATAACCTTCCTCAGTGTCTGTTATTGTGAGACTGAACACTGCTCACCAAAGTGTCAGTAATTGTATCAATCCAAACACGTGCGCCTCGCTTATCGAATTGATTTTGACATTTTATTGGTGTCAAACACTTCAAATATCATTATTTGTAACGTGATATTCCTATAAATATAAAAAAACCTCTTGATAAGCATTATACTGAAATGAAATTATATTACGTATAATTTTGTTATGACGTCTTCACTTTATGCGGCAATTTAATTTTAAGCTAGATCTGTCACAACCGGCCGTACGGGCTCTTACGGGCTGTTTGCGGCAAAATTTTGCTAAATTTCGAGTTTGCAGACAGCTCGTAAGCACGTACGGAGGATATTGGACATGTCCAAAAGATTATACGAATAGCATGCGAACAGCGAGGCACCAAGCGTAACTTGCTCCAGTAGCAAGGACTTCGCAAGTGAGAAGTGCGCGGTCCAAGACGCACGTCGCAAACAATGAAGGAGCTAGTGGCCTTTGCGTGCTGGGTACGGCGCAAGCCCTCACAGCTGACGAACAAAGTCGAAAGCACACCTAAAGCCTAGGTCCCAACTACGTTTTGGACGCACGGTGTTTAGGTTCATTGCGTTCGGCTAGGACGCAGCTAGATTGCACGTAGCGGCTGTTGATCATGTTGAAAAGTTTCTTCGTGCTGTTTACGTCCTCCAAAAGTCGCACGATGGACGTGCTCCTCACGCACGAACTCCCACGTTTTCCCCATGTTTTTGGCCGTAGACTACAGGTAGCAGCCCGTACGTTCGGTTGGGACCTAGGCTTAAAATGCGTCGCATGTGCGTCACCCCCACGCCTGAAGTATAAAAGGTGTGCACACGACGCACTCTCGTGTCTCGACAATAAACGTCGATTGTGCAACGGGTACAACAAATTACAAAAAATTCAAATTTCACTCAATTCTACTTCTAATATGCCTCCAAAAGACAAGAGAAAGAAGCTGAGAGAAAGGAAGGGGGAAGGTAGAAGAAAGAAGGGGAAAACAGGAGGCAAAACTGACGTACGCCATCAACACGTCATCATAAGTGTGTGAGACAAGTGTGAAGCAAAAATGACGCAAAAGGGAACTACTTTCGCCGTACGTTGCATTCTATTCGTAAGTGGTTAGTGCGTGCCACGTATGCAGGTGGCAAAACAAAGTCAGGAAATGAGTACAATTTCCACAGCCATCGCACCTTGCAATTAGCGTCCCGGCTTGAAAGGACATCTCAAGTGGCCCATCCGACTCGCAAGGCAGACTTGCGCCTTTCCATTGAAACCTTTCCTCTACCTCTTCGAACTCCACGTCCTGCACTGCACCCAAAATTCGTAGGGGACGTAAGGTCCTAAAATTCGTGCGTCCGGTTGTGACCGAGGCTTAAGTAGTTTGAGGCTATAATTGCGTTGCATTTGCTAAGGCTTCGATATAGCAGGTGGGTGCAATCGCCATCGCAAATATTGATCGCTGTGCTGACTATTTGCGAAGCTTTCGACTTATAGACCCCAGGGGCACAGGCATAGCGATTTGCAAGTTTTTTTTTTCTCAGAGGTACAGAGTGACTCAATCTTTCATAAGCTTGAAACCGATGCATTTATCAATGTTTTACGACGTTTTATTGCGCGTCGTGGGAACGTTGCAGAACTGTGGAGCAATAATGGAACTAACTTCAAGGACACCCACATAGAACTACAGCAGGCATTTGAAAACATGAAGCACGGTGTCATTCACAACGATATGCATAAAGCTGGAGTATTTCATTCCGCCTACAGTAAGCAATATGCGTATTATAATGTTTGCAGAGATGGAAATACATCTGTTACTATGTACCAGTCAATAACTCAAAAACAAATCTTTAAATTTCACTTTTATTGTTCACGCACATTTGTAGCTATCTATAGTGAATTCTGAGTTAAATTCTGGAGTGAGTTCTAAAGTGAGTTCTGAGGTGTTTTCTGATGTGGTGAAACTAAAAAAAAAGTAAAATAGATAGATAATAATAATTATAATAATAAATACATAAATATATTACATTAAGTGTACCCACAAATGCAAAATAAAGAACGGAGAGAGATAGAGAGAGAGAGAGAGCGATACGAACTCGCAAATATCGACAATATGATTAAAACTATGAAATTAAATATATAGATCGTTTCGCAATTTGCGCAATTGCGCAAGTCCCTTTTTGCGAACAGACCTTTTCACGGACGTTTCGCAATGTAATTTTGCGCAAAATAATGCGCTATTTACGCAGGATATTTGGTACAGCTCCGACCATGTCGCTAAGTCTTTGCGCATGCGTAACTTGGCGTTCACCTAGCGCAATGGCTGCAGCTTTTCTTGTCGTGCGAAACGGCAGTAGGCGGATTTACATGCCGCGGCGTGATTTCTTAGAAGAGCAGACAGAGAGGGGAGTACTGAGGAGGTACAGGCTGTCGAAGAGGGGCATCAGGATGCTGACGGAGAAGATTGAAGGCCAGCTGCGGCGTAAAACAGCAAGGTCCCAAGCACTCTCCCCCACCACACAAATTCTTGCCTGCCTTGGCGTGCTTGCGACCGGTAGTTTTCAGGCGGTGATTGGCGACAGCCTAGGGATCTCTGCTGCATCTGTGTCCCGTTCAGTCCACAATGTGGTGGGAGCCATCTTAGAGAGCAGAGACCCTACCCTCACCATCAGATTCCCCACAACACAAGCCGAGGTCAGAGTCGTGAAGGGTGGCTTTCACCTCATCGACGGATTCCCAAATGTCATTGGGGCGATAGACGGAACATTAGTTCCAATAGCAGCGCCACATAGAGATGAAAATTTATATGTTTGACGCAAGGGCTATCATGCTCTGAATGTACAAGCTGTGTGTGATTCTACACTAAGGTAAGTGCGCTACTTTCGTTATAGGCTATTGTTTACATTTTACACTTACGCTACTATCGCAATCACAACTGTCGCAATCACTTTATTTAGTTACAATGACGATGACTTGTTATGCTAAATAAAGGAGAATGTTATTATTCTCGAACATTTAGTAGCAGGGGTAGATTATTTTAAGGGAGGTCCTCGGATGCAAAGCTGACCCCCCCTCCAACTAGGCGTGCTGTTCTGGGCTCAGTGAAGGGGCCATAAAATGTTTGGTATTTCATATGGCAAACGATGTCATTGATTTATAACTATGAATCAGCTAGTCAAATTTTTAATTTCAATAGGGGGCCGGGGGGAGGGGACCCTGACCCCCCCCCCCCCTAAATCTCCCACTGCAGTACCATCACTGTCCGCAGATTTTGAGCTGCGCGTGCACACTGGCTGAAGCGACGGCCATTTTCGCACTACTTTCAGCAAAATCGAGTGAAAATGGACGACTTTTGAGCTCTTCGTATTTTCATGTGTATTTTTGTCAACAGTTGATGAGATTAAACGATAGGTATATAAAAGGAAGCGGAAATGTCTAGGGATTCGGAATTTTAAGGTTAGTTGTCATAAAAAATAGATTTAGAACTGTAAAATGGAAGATTTATCCACGCGGGATTGCAAATGGTGTCCCGTTTCAGGTGTCGGAAAATTTCTATTTAAGGATTTCTATAGGCCTAAGAAGTTTATATTGTACAAAGTTTTAAAAATCATGAAAGCTGGTTAAACTGGCTTTCTGGCAGTATATATATTTTGTGAATTCAGCTTTGTCCATTTTTTTAAGTGCGAGGTGAACGCTACGCCAAGCACTCGCATTTTTGAAGCGCACTGACCCGACTTAGCAAGACTACAAGTTTTCTTAAATATTCTGAATATCAGAGCAAACAAGTCACAATAAAATTAAAATACGAATAAGTGCAGTACATCTTACATCAGAAATATTCCAAGAGTTATATACTTCATTCTTAAAACATCAAAGTTACGATCCAATCCACAAGAAATCCAGTGTGAATTTTGACCAATATAGAAAGATATTGCTAGATCTAGTTATGAATAAAACAATATATTTTTTAATTGAATAAATATTTACAATGAAGTACTGGCCTATGACCAGGTTGTACTTTTTAAAGCCTGAAAGGGTTTTGATTAAAAAAAAATATTCATCGCCGGTTTAATCATTATATTAAGATATGCACTTCTGCCTTGTTCTCTTATTTTACTGCTCAAGATTTATTTCTATGTACTAGTACTATTTTTGTCTCTTACATATTAAACTATTTAAAATACAGGGCAAGACCCTTCCAATTATAATTTGAAAAAAATATCCCTAATCTATTTAAAATTTACATTTGTTTTTAAAAGTGCAAAATATTGAAATCTGTTTGATAAACAACACTAAGTAAACATTTAAAATTCATGTCCTTAAAGCACTGTCCCTGGGAAATGTTCATTCAACCTCATGAATATGCACTGAACTTTTTGAAAGTTTTTTGAAACTTTTTGCCTTTTAAATTAAAGCAGTTAACAAGGCTCCAATAAACTCGTTGGCCAACTTGATCTGTCTATTCTGAGGGCAGGAGAAGCACCTGCCCCAGCAAGTCATGAATATTACTTTAGCCAGAACTGACATACAATCAAGATCATCCCCGGCTGAAAATTCTTGAATATAAATTTGTAATTAAATACATATAAAAGTAAACTGCATTAAAAAAAAAAAAAAAAAAAAAAAAAAAAAAAAAAAAAAAACGTCAGTATACGAGTTTCAATTTTTTTTATATGTTTCAATTTTTTTATTTCCTTTGAATCTTCAGTGGCCAGTTCATATACCTGCTGGATATGACAATCAGAAAACTAAATCAATTTAAGTTCAAAATTGGGCCGTCTTCCCAGATTGCCACCCTGCCACCCAGTTGTTGATAGATTCATTGAATAAATGATCAAAACTTGGCCCCTATAAAACTACTGTCAAAATTTTGTTAACTTAAGCATAATATTCCCCAAACGACCTCCAGTCAGATTCAATTCTTTTGAGAGCACTGTATCCTCTCTCCACCTGAGAAGTGGACAGGCTGAACAAGGCAATTTCAATTAGCATTATTGTATGTATTCTAATCTTTGTCTGTTCTCCTAGCCTTGAAACAAATCAGTACACATATCTTTACTTTTATTCACTATAAACATGCCACCTATGTGCTCTTTAAAGGCAGGCCACTCTCAATGGAAGTCTTTTGGGTCAAAGCCCATCCTGTTTAATACTTGAAGAAAGTATTGTTCCAGAACTTGTCTGCTATGAGAACGGTTTCTAGGGTAAACAATATCCAAGACTCTACAAAACACCATCTCTTGTTCAGTCACACCTGCATCAACAGCACCATCACACAAAACTGAAAAAGCATGTAATGCATAGGTCATAAATTTAAAGTGCGCATATATTGGTCATAAAGTGTGGCTCTGCCTTGACAAACGATTTTTTTAAACTTGTTAAATTTGAAGACTTTTTTTAATACCAACAATTTCAGATAAATTGTTTAAAAAATCAGAATATTTAAACTTATAATGTAAAACAACTTTGAAACCTGTCCAAGAAAGACCTTTATTACACCTGTAATGCTGATTGCGCAATGTGCTAGTTAACAGGTGTGTATAGACACACACACACACACACCCTATTTCGAAAAGGTCTAGATTCCAACCCCATCTAAAAGGAAATAGAGCGGATAAAGGTACACTAGTAGGCCTACACATTTTATGTAAACAAAGTACAACTATAACTTTGCAACAAAATATAACATTTCACTGGTACTGAACGTCAACAAGTGCATCTAAACTATGCGAAGGGAGCTCGGTTACTCCAAAATCATTTCTATACATTTCGGCGCTTTTATAAAACTTTGTGAATGCAAAAAAAAGGACTCACCTTTTAGTCTGCAAACCCAAAGCTACGTAACTTGAATGGCAAACGGCAGATTTTTCCATTCTAAAAAAAATGTTATGGTCGATCTGCAGCACCTATGTCGTTTTTTCACGTATTATTTTCCATAACAATTCTCACTATGACAGTGACACATTGTATACTATGAATATACACTTGAAAAAGCTGAACATTGAATTTTTTAACCGAAATGCAAGATTTACTGAGAAAAACGCTCTCGAGGCACTTGCTCAGTGCAACGTGACAGTCCCAGTTTCGACTGACCTACATAGTTCGCACTAAAATAGGGATTTCACAAAAAAAGGACGGTTATACAATTTTTTTATTCTTTTTGGCTCAATTCCAGCATATATAGTTGCATAAATCGTTATAATATCAATAAAGTAAGTTTGTCCATTTTTTTCTACAATCATTTCATTTTAGGGTACAAAATTACACGATCTGCTTGAGAAAAATGCGTGTGCTAATTTTAGACAACTGATACAAGGCTTTCGTCGAAACTGAAATGTTCATTTTACATTGTGCGTTTACATCAAGTTTTAAATTTTATTTTTTGAATGTTTCAAGCGGAATAATGAGTTATTCACAGAGATTCATGGATTTATATAACAACTAAGGATTTTTGAAAACATGGCACGAAACACACGTCGCGGACTATTTTGTGCAAGCGCGTAGGTGTTTTTGTAATTATCACCGCTTACGCATTGATATGCAAGATCTGCGGACACACTGCGGCCCTGGCTTTTCCAGGAAGAACCAAAAAAAGAAAGTTGAAACAGTTTCCATATAAGGATATACAACTGGTGTCAAAATCAATGACTCAGGCTTACCCCACTTACTCTTGCAGAAGATAGAGGCCACAACAGAAGGAGAACAAGAGAGGTTTAAATTCCCCTGCCTTCAATACGGTAAGTAAAAAAAAATAATAATAATAAAAATAATGGAAAGAATGTTGTTTACCATATATATATATATATATATATATATATATATATATATATATATAGGCTAAGCACAAAATATGATATGATCAAAATATTCCTAGATATCGTTAAGCATGCAAGCAGGAATATTTACAATAGGGCCTATAGTATGAATATAAGAAATCTAATATATTTCTTGGAAGTTTTCAGCATTAGGCCCCTATTTCACACAGACCACGAATCCCACGAATCGCCAGGAATTGAAAAATTTCAGGATTTGTGAGGATTCGTGAGATTTTGCCAATTTTCTGGTCTAATTCGACACGCTCACGATTCAGTTACGATACAGGCGCGATAGTGTTACGAATATTCGTGGGATTCGGCTGGAATCGCACGAATATTGTCTAGAAATTCACTACGATTTTTTGGAATCGGGAGTTCGTGGCCAGAACTTTGAACAGCTCAAAATTTTTGCCACGAATTTCCGATTGATCAAGAATTGCAAGAACTGACTACGATTATATACGAATCTGTTAAGAACTTCACGACCTGATTACGATTCAACCACGAATCCTGAAATTTGTCAATTCCTGGCGATTCGTGGGATTCGCGGTCTGTGTGAAATAAGGGCATCAAAGTTTTTGCCACGAATTCCTGTTGGTCAAGAATTGCAAGAACTGACTACGAATATATACGAATCTGTTAAGAACTTCACGAACTGATTACGATTCAACCACGAATCCTGAAATTTGTCAATTCCTGGCGATTCGTGGGATTCATGGTCTGTGTGAAATAGGGGCATTAAGCAGCACCCATAGTTAGGTTGCTACATCATTTCTCCTTACTTTATTCTTACAACCTCAAATCATATCTGTGTTAATTACCAAAAGTTTTGGCTTGATAAAAAAGAAAAATAGAGATTCATGAAAGGTATTTAAGACCAACAGATGATCCCAGATTGCTATTATTCTGAATCATGAAAAAGGTGATGCTATTCCATTCCATATGCTGACTAATCTGAATAACTAATGTGGTCAGTGTTTGCGAAGATGAAAATACATT